CTTCTACATCCTTCCCTCCTCACTCCTGTCCTCTCCCCTTCTTTCCTGTTTTGTGCCTCTTACCCTCCACCGATTTTATTCATCGCATTTCATAATTATTCCATCATTAGACAGCAGATGTGATAATTGACTTTCGGATGCTCCTCCTCTCCAGCAATACGGTCATCTCTAGCAGGTAAATCAATTGGTGGTTGGAAAGCCTGCTTATCCTCTATCCTCCGTCCAAGGCATTTAGTGAGTTGCCCCTCACCTCGTCTTGAAGTTCAATTTTGACAAAATGGCCCAATTAGTCCTGACAGAGGGGCAGACTAAGAGGCAGATAGATTTGTTGCAATGTCCCTCTCCCTCTAATGTCAATTAACAATTTAAGGGCAGCTGAGAGAGGGTAGAAAAGCAAGAAAATGTGAAATCGCGTGAAGTGAACGGATAACGGCACGCATGCGATTCCGATGCCATCCTCACTTCTACCTGTGTGACCGGGGCGGAGCACTTCCAATGACAGCACATATCAAAGGGAAAGATGCGGCTTCCCCCACTACAGGAAATAAAGCTTTTCATTGGTGTTAAGAGGAGGTATCGAGTGAAAACCCCTAGGGCTCACTAACGTCTTTTTTCTCTACTACACACATTATGGGAGTCTCCTGCCCTATTGTAGAGGCGTGTCAATCCAAACACGCCGCTCTCTCTTTCATCCGCATACCACAGCCCACTACACCATACCACATAACAATTCATTGAACACGGTTTCTGGATCTTGGTTAAAATTCAGTCCAATCCCCATTCGTGTGAGGAAAAGGCGAGAGTATAGGGGAGGAGAAAAAAGAACAGGGTGGACGTGAGGCGTGAAGAGGAGCGATGGCGCAGTAAACAAATCATTCCCATGGCGAAATGCCGCAACAGAAGGGTGAGAGAAAGTGGGGGAGAGAGATAACGAGAGAGAAATGTGAAATAAACGCAGCAACTACTCTTCAAAGGATGTCCAAAAAATTTTTGGTTATTGTTGTCACCTCTCCTGTCCACCACAGAAATTATCATTCGTGGTGGTGGTGGTAGTAGTATTAGCGGTAGTGGTAGTGGTAGCGATAGTGATGTTGGGAGAATTATTTCATGACTCCTTTTTGCTTAATCCCCTCCTTTGTCTCCTTCGACATCCGTGTTTGTCTGTGATAGGCGATGAAATCGTATTAAGTAGTATCACAATTTGCCAAATTCTATCAATTACTGGTGTTATTTTGATGAGAAACTCCATGTTTATTGAGATGTGTTATCTCTAAAGAAAGGCGCAAGGAGTGACCTTTGTGAACCGCAAAAACACACAGGACAATTATTTGGTCTCTACCATGAGGGTTGTCGCTCTTCCACATCCTTCTCTCCTCTCCTCTCTCCTCCTCAAGCCCTCTCTGTCATGCCTGTCCCATTTTTTTCCTTGATCCTGCCTCCTACTTCCTCCCTCCGCTCTTGCCTTACTTCTATCCCCTTCTTCTGGCCTCGTTCAACCATCTGATTCTATAATTTTTCTCTCATTGGGTCACAAATGTGAGGATTGGCTTTTGGACTCTCCACCTCGCCTGCAACAAGGTCATCTCGTGTAGGCTTCTCATTTTGTGGTTGTAAAAACCTGCTTATCCTTAAATCTGAACAGCCTCTCTTCAAAGCCCTCCATGAGTTGTCTCGCTTTGTCTCTTCTCGCCTCACTCCGCCTCGGATAGCGCAGGTAGACGAGCAGAAAAAGAAATAGATAGATTTGGTGGTATGTCCGTCTTCATCTGATGCCAATTCGCAATTTAAAAACAAGCGAGAAGAAGGGGGATGAAGAAGGAATGGATTTACTCAGATGCTAAACCTGTTTTAAACAAAATTTTGTGTGTGGCCACGAGCATGACCATACTGATATCTGCAATGTG